GCACCGATGAAAAGAATAGCAACTGTTTAGAAATTTAGAAACTCTGTATCTATTCAGGCGAATTAAGGCCTGTGTCCATAATGCTAGTACTTGGTCCAAGTTCCAGTTTTGAGAAATGCGTAGCTAATCAACTTGCAGCTTTTGTGGAACAGCTATATTGATTGGCTACATATTTCGCGGAATTAGAACTTGGACCAAGTACTAGCATTATGGACACAGGCCTTAATTCGCCTGAATAGATACAGAGTTTCTAAATTTCTAAACAGTCGCTATTCTTTTCATCGGTGCTGTCGATACGTTATTGCCCGAATGAGATGTATTTACAGAATGGTTACGGTAGAAGAAAGATACGCGTTATATTGGGTTGTCGGAAAAGTCATGACGTATTTTTAAGTAATTTTCAAGACTCACTTATTAATAATATAACAAAGTTTAATCAATAATGTATTGGCCACTTTGATCGATGACCTTTTGCCATCTTTCTGGGAGTTGCATGATTCCGCGCTCGTAGAAGGACTGCTCTTTTCCAGCGAAGAACTGGATGAGATACTCTTTGATGGCCTCATCAGAATCGAAAGACCTACCATTCAGGTCATTTTGCAGAGAACGAAATAAATGGTAATCTGATGGGGCAAGGTCCGGTGAGTATGGAGGATGGGCCAAAACTTCCCATCCAAGCTGCAGCGGAACCCATATATCGAGCTTGCTGATGAATCCAAGCTTCCTGAGATGGTCGTGGACGGTTGAATGGTGAAGATTTAGTGACTCCGCGATGTCACGAGTGGTCGAATGTGGGTTTGCTTCTATCAGTGCCTTTATTTGATCGTCATCAACTTCAACGGGCCTTCCGCTGCGAGGAGCATCGTTGACGTCAAAATCGCCAGCACGAAATTTAGCGAACCATCTCTGACACTGACGCTCTTGTAGAGCATTTTCCCCGTAAACTTTACGCAATTTTTCACAAGCCTGTCTTGCGTTCTTTCCTGCGCGAAAATAAAAAAGCAAAATATGCCGAAAATGCATAGTTTGGTCTTCCATTGTTAATTTAATGTAAGAACTGAAGAACGTGACAAAAGCAAATAATTATTGTGTTTCAAATGAAGTTTAAACTGCCATCTATCGACATTATTATAACACTCACGGATTGCGATGACGTTTCTAGCCTTAACATGCGTGTAACGCCATCTATTGCAAAAATCCGTCATGACTTTTCCGACAACCCAATACATA